CGCAAGCGAAAGTTGTGGTCACGAAATACGGGCGTATCAACATGTATGAGACCAGCGATGATGGTGATGATGATCTCGTCATATACAGTCAAAACGAAAACGATCACGTCAACCATGTAGAAGCCGTGCTGCGACGCATCGAAGAGTTTGGACTACGCGTCAACAAAACCAAGTCCCAGATAGCCAAAAAGAATGTTACTCTGTTGGGACATAAAGTGGGAAATAGTGAGATTAAACCACTACCGGAGAAAATTTTGACGATTAAAACGATTCCAGCCCCGAATTCAAAGAGAAAACTGAGACAATTCCTGGGTAGAGCAGAGTTTTATAGTCGCTTCGTGAAGAACTTCAATGAGATAGCAGCCCCTCTATACAGGCTACTAGGGGAGCCAAAGTTTGTTTGGTCGGAAGAATCGCAGAGGACATTCAACAGAATTAAACAGCTGCTCGACCACCAACAAATGACGCTAAAACTACCTGTACCTGGAAGACAGTTCACAGTGTGCACAGATGCCAGTGACTACGCTATAGGTGCGGTCCTAAGACAGGACGAGGGAATCGTTGAGTATGCCAGTAGGGTTTTGACGCTCACAGAGAGAAAGTATTCAACGATAGAGAAAGAATGTTTAGCAATGGTACGGGCAGTCGACAAATGGAGACCTTATTTACTCGGCCGGCGGTTCCACATCGAAACTGATCATAAGCCGCTACAATTTTTGAAGACAGCGAGAGACCCACGGGGGAAGTTGTCACGGTGGATGTTGCGTCTTCAGGAGTACGATTTTACGATCTCACACGTTCCTGGAAGTGAAAATGTCTTGGCAGATTTGTTATCGGGACCAGAAGATGAGTCTGAGTTGCCCGAGGTCGCTTACGGAGTGCATGCAGTAGAACAAGACCCACTAAGACTTGCACGCAGGCAGAGGTTGGACGATACGCTGAATACAGTAATACAGGTGATCACCAACGGAATAGAAGTGGATCAAACTACGGCGAGTAAGGAGCTAACCACACTACTCAGACAGAGGGATCGACTCAGAGTGAATGCCTACGGGACTCTGACCTGGCGAGAGAACGACGGAAGCTGGCTGGCTGTCATACCTCAATCGTCGCGCCACGACATGATAGAAGAATGTCACCAGCTAGCGCATACAGGCGTGGCCAGAACGACCGACCTCCTAAGACAAAGTATGTACTGGCCAGGTATGAGAGAAGACGTAGCAAGATACGTACTTGGATGTCCACGGTGCCAGCTGATGAAAGGTGACCGGTGTATACGACCACCACTTCAGTCGATTCCAGTTACCGCGATAGGTGACTTGTGGTCCGTAGATGTCATGGGTCCATTTCCTCAGACATCCAATGGTAATCAGTACCTCTTGGTGATGACGGAACACGCGACACAATGGGTAGACGCCGTAGCAATCCCAGACCAACGTGCAAGAACCGTGACAGATGCAGTAGTTAAACACATTGTTGCAGACCACGGCGTACCAAAGACAATACTGACAGACCAAGGTCCCTGTTCCGAGAGTGAAGAGTTTACTTCCCGTTTGCAACAGCTGGGCATCAAGAGGATCAGAACGACCCCATACCATCCACAAACGAATGGCCTAACGGAGAGAAACAACCGTACACTGAAGGAGTGGCTGGCCTCGAAGGGCGGTAACTGGGAAACGGAACTTCCACTGATTTTACTGACACATCGTGCTACCACTCAGGAAACAACGAAGAAGTCACCCTTCCAACTGATGTATGGTAGAAAACCACGATTACCGGTACACAACGAGACCTGGCCCCGTCACCAAAAATGGAGTACGACGAAATTAAAAGCAGAGCGGAAAGAAGCAGTCAAGAATGTAATGAAGAAGCAGCGGAGTGACGTCGCGAAGTCTCAGCTGAAAAGAAAGACTCAGTGCAATATCTTTGCAGTCGGGGACCAAGTGAAGTGTAGAGACAAAAGATATACAGTTGGATGCGGGCCAGGTTCACGAAAACTCCTTCCAAAGTGGGAAGGACCGTACACAATCACAAAAAGACGGGGTCAAGTATATACCATCCGAAGAGGTGATAAACAGAAACGAGTTAACGCCAGTCAGCTTCAAAGATGGGTACAGTGGGACAAGCCGGTCAGTAACAATCCTCAACTAGAGGATGTAGCACCCAAAAGGTCGAAACATTAGTGAAACAATCTCGGAAAAAAATGGCACTATAATTAGCTCCCAGGATAGACGACTGGATCGTTGGAAAGAGCATTATGAGGAGCAGTTTAATTGGCCCACAGCCACGCTTAATCTGCCGAACATCCAACCCCTCCCTGAATGGGATATAGACACAGGTCCTCCATCCCTAAATGAGGTTACTAAAGCTGTCACCAATCTAAAACTAGGCAAAGCAGCGGGACCTGATGGAATGACTCCAGAGGTATTTAAGTACGGTGAAGACAGCTTACTGTCTGCATTAACTGAGGTACTAGGCAGCGTCTGGGAATCAGAAGAAGTCCCATCGGGTTGGTGTAAGTCATCGATTATCCCCATATACAGGAAGGGAGACAAGTCTTCCTGTGATAACCACAGAGGGATTAGCTTGACTAATATAGTATCTAAAGTTTTAGGCTCAATAATCATGCGTAGACTAAGTGGTGCTCGGGAGACACAAACACGAGAGAGCCAGGCAGGCTTTAGACCAGGAAGAGGGTGTATTGATCATATCTTCACCCTCCGACAGATTCTAGAACATAGGCATTCCTACCAGCGTCCAACAGTCATTATATTTCTTGACCTAAAGGCGGCATTCGACTCTGTCGATCGAGAAGTTCTCTGGAGATGCTTGGCTGTAAAGGGAATTCCGAGAAAATATATTGCACTGATTAAGGCACTCTACTCGTACTCATACAGCAAGGTGGGGGCTTACGGCGAGCTGTCATCTGAACTGATGACGACCAGTGGTGCCCGTCAAGGTTGCCCATTATCCCCTTTTCTATTCAACTTCATCATAGATGTACTAATGGACTTAACCCTTAGTGACTTCAGCGATTCAGGGATTGACTTGCTACCGGGGAATAATCTCGTTGACTTGGAATATGCAGACGATATAGTCCTTCTAGGCGAAGACGCTGACGAAATGCAGAGTCTTCTGAACACCTTGAGCTGTAATCTACGAATGTTTGGCATGCGATTCGCTCCCGCCAAATGCAAGATGATGTTACAGGACTGGACTTCACTGACGCCTAGTTTAAAAATAGGAAGTGAAGTGGTAGAGCACGTTGACCGCTTCACTTATTTGGGAAGTACCATCAGCCCCAACGGGTTGATCTCTGACGAAATCTCAGCACGAATACAGAGGGCCCGTTTCGCATTTGCCAATTTACGCCGACTCTGGCGTAGACGAGATGTTCGACTATCGACCAAAGGGCGGGTGTATTGCTCATCAGTCCGCTTTGTCCTCCTTTATGGTTGTGAAACCTGGCCACTGAGAGTGGAAGACATGAAAAGACTAGCTGTCTTTGATCATAGGTGCCTGCGCTCTATTTCCCGTGTAAAGTGGCATAATAAGGTGAGCAATATTGAGGTTAGGCTTAGAGTTCTAGGTAAACAGGGGAAATCAATCGACGAAGTCGTGAAGTTACAAAGACTGAGATGGTTAGGACATGTGTTACGTATGCCAAGCCATCGCCTCCCTCGACGAGCAATGTTAGCGGATATAGGGTCAGGCTGGAAAAAAGCTAGCGGCGGTCAAACAAAAACTTGGCACCAGTCAATGAAATCCACAACAGTTAGTCTACGCCACATAGGAAGGTGTAGACTTCCAGGCTGGGGTCCTCGGGACGGTAAAAATCTATGGTTGGAAACAATTGGTGACATGGCTCAAAATCGTTCTCAGTGGCTGGCGCAGATGCATCCACTCCTTGTGACTTATGATCTGCAATGAAACTGTTTTGTTCTTCGTTATTACTCCTCCTTTGTCTCACACCTCTGCTCACTGTCTCTATTATGCTTTTCTTGTACTTTCTTCTCTTGCTTCGCGTGCTACACGGAGTGTGGCGACTTGAACTTCCGCACATTTGTGCAAAGTTCTATATCGAAAACAGACAGACAGACAGACGATGACACAATACACAATTCTGGCAGTTCTGAATAAAAATTGACATCTAACTGATGAGAGGTATTTTCCCTACAAAGCATTTGGTAAATCAAGTTTGATCATGAACTGAAATCAATAAGGGAACTGTTAGAAAATCAGCATGCATTACTGGATAACTGTTTCGTTCCCTCAATTTAGGGACTCTTCATCAGCATCCATCCTCCCACAGCCAGGGTTCGAACCCAGGACCTCCCTGCTGACAAGGGGAACCTCGTAGACCAATCAGCTATTAGCATTCGATACAATGTTTGGCTCCTTTCTCTAGACAGGAAACAATATTATGATGCAATCCAGCAGTAGCATCTAAAGTACATCTCTGCCCAGTTTTCATGCAAACTGTTAAAAGAGTCGCAAAAATATCCACTAATACACTTGGGTCAAGAGGCTGAACATTTCGATCAACGTTGATTCAATTAATCGACGTTGTTTTTAAACACTCAGATTTTTCTGAGTAAAAATTAAAAACAAAACAAAATAAAAAAGAGAACACTACATAACATTTTGAAAAAAAAGTCAAGCGCTACACAGCTGAATATAGCTTGAAAATATAAACACACAAAAATAGTTTTTATTTAGAGAAAAATTTTATTCTTGTACGTTCCTAGTGGAACATATAGGGCTTTAAGCTACAGCTCTGAAGTTTCGGTAGCAGTAGTGTTTTTTTACGGGGAAAGGTTGCTAGCCTCACGCCAAACCTTTCCTCTTTACCAGTCTTATTACTGGCTTAGTGAGAAATAAAGGAGTGCGTCTGCGACCGGAGATCGAACTCCGGACCACATGGGGCGTGGTTGGCGACCATTCTACCCCGCTGTGCTACCGAAGCACACAAAAATAAAAAATGAGAAGAGAATTCTTACCGTTTAAATCGATGGGATTATTGACTATTTGGATTGATGAATCAGTTAGTGTTACATTATTGTCCTCTTCTGATTCATCCATCTTATTATGTTTAGCCTTTAGATGCCTTTCTAGAATATCGGCAACTTTGAATGCTAAAGGACAATAAGGGCAGGGGAATGATTTTTCATTAGTATGACGAAATAAAATATGACGTTCCAGAGCTAAAGTAAGTTTTGAAAAACAAAAAATATTAAGGTGAAAAAAAGTTGTTAAGAAGAATCCAGATTGATTAATTATTTTTTAATAAGAATAGCATTCATTCCTCCATTCATTCTTAACATGAAATTGTAGGAATTTGGTTGGTTACAAGATTTCATTATGAGCTGACATTGGTTAGAGAACCATTGGAAAACCTGGGAGTACTGGACAGCTATTTCGTCTACCTAGTTCGGGACTCTTCAGCAAGTACGTACCCACCGGGGTTCGAACCCAGGACCTTCTCGTTAGAAGGCGAGCTCATATACCATTAAGCCACTGGGACCAGATACAATGGCCCATGAATTCTAACTTCTGCCAATTCATGACATAGCGCGACTCCAGGTTTTCCAATGGTTCCCTCACCAACGTCAGCTTATGATGAAATCCTGTAAGGTAAAAATTGTTTTATATCTATTGTACGAACTATCATCCATAGTTACACTTGATAAGCGGCTCCAGACATGAGAACCCAGTAATTAACTGTGTATATATTTATAGGTATGCTTTGTAGAACTACTTAAATTGAAGCAAAAAGGTTAAAAAAACAGCATTAGCAACCCAGAAACAGTCTACAGAAGTTAGAATTCTCAGGTAATTGAATACCAATCCAGGTGGCTGAAAGGTCAATGTACTGACCTCATAAGTTGAAGGTCCTGGGGGTTCATTCCATGGTGGGGTCGTAGGTGCGCACTTTTGAACAGCCTTAAACTAGGCTGACAAACTTATCCAATGCTACCCCCCTGGTTTCCACAGATTCTTTACGTAGTATTGGTGTTCATGACGAAATCTAAATTGAAACATTTCAGAGTTATAAAAAAACACTAAACCTGAATACTGAAGTACACATAACAACTAAAAATGCATAAAGGGATGTGGTATGCAAGTACGGCTAAATCAGTGATATCAAGGATTCAATTTAAAAGAAAATAATGACATGAAACGTATTTCGTCACTACATTGATCCAATCTTTTGGGTGGGTGCGTACTGATGAAGAGTCCTAAACTAAGACGAAACAGCTGTCCAGTACTCCCAGGCTTTCCGATGGTTCTCTAACTAATGTCAGCTGATGATGAAATCTTGAAACCAATCAAATCCCTACAAACCATCACTTGAATACCAATCTCTTGGGTGTTTCATGTTACCCTCGGACGCATCCAATTCATTGTTTCTTATGCATGTTTCATTCGGGCCACGGCATGGCTTGAGATGTCATCGAACGGTCCCTTCTGAGTATGTCTCATCTCTTTGCATTCTCTTCCGAATATTTGTGTTCTTCAAGAAACACATTCATCAACCTGAAACCAATCTGGAAATCTTCGTCACTCAGCCAGCATCAACAACGAAATTCGGTCGGATTTCCAATAGAAACAAGGTCAAGTCAGTCAGTTCTTCTATACGGATCAGAAACTTGGCGAGCGGGTCACAAACAATATTTCCAACAGCCTGTTGCGATGCAGACCTTTATCAACCAACAACTGTCTTCACTGGATCTATACTGAAGATGAGATGGCCGGGCCGGAAAGAATCACCAACAAGAGACTATGGGAATAAACAAAACAAGAACCAATCGTCAAACAAATATCCAGGAGAAAGTGGAGATAGATTGAACACTGGCTGAGGAGGTGGCTGAGTGACGTCGCGCGAAGGGAAGCGGGTGACATGGAGCAGATCGTGTGAAGAGGAGTTGAAACAGTATGGACTAACATGGATGCAGGTGAAAAGGACAGCAGAAGACAGAAGTGGCAAGTGGAGACGTGTAGTTGAAGCCCTAGGAACCCAAGGGAACAATAATAACAATAATAGGTTCTTCGTTGGTTGGTTTCCAGTGTTTCTTGTTGCTTATCCTTTCCAGCAATCCGTCTGATTTTCAATATTGAGTGGAGGCAGATGTTGACATATTAAGAAATATGTTGAAAATGCTTTCCACGACGCTCGCTCGAAATCTGTGAACTATATATAAGAGCTGACAGACCTAGTATTAGAGTGTTGAAAATCCGAATTTTGTTTCTTATGCTGAGTACAGAAGATTTCCATTTATTTCAGATTACCGAAAGTGTGTCTTGTCTTTTAGATCCTGATTGGCTTGACATTCCTCATCCCCACTATTACCTACAGTTGAAAATATGCGATCTGGATAAGTAACGGGTGTGACCACCTCTTTCAAATTTCTTCCGTTGATAGTGATCGATGCTGGTTGTTGTTACAGTTTGTTTGTTCGTTGGTTGGTTACCTTCACTACCTGCATCTTCTCTATGTTCACCTGAATTCCTATCTTTGGTGCTTCTTCCCAACAGTTTGTTGGTTTTCACCTCTAAGTCCTCGAGTTTGTATAACTTCAGATTTAAATCATCCACGGAGTCCAGGATCTGCTGTACTGCCTGCCTTCTAGCCCCTCTCACTCACAGTTCCCCACATAATCCAGTCCACCTCAATCAGGAATATTATCAGTGATAGTTGCAGCCTTCTTCGGCTGACTTCTGTCTTCACTTTAAAGGTTTCGTCGAGTTTTACGCTGTGATTCATTTGACATATAGCACTATCATATAGTTTACTGGATGAGGTTATTTAAAGTGTAACCATCTGAGTCCTTCACTATTGGTCTCTTCCCCCCCCCCCTTTTTCTCACATTCACTTTGTCCTTTAGTATTTCCATGTAACTGGAGTGTTTACTGTACACTCCAGCAGTTAAACACGTAATTTTCTATAGTTTGGTTTGTAAGGATTAATTTTGTCTTTACGAGTTTACCAAGGATTGATATTAGTTAGAGAACCATGGAAAATCAGTGAGTATCGGACACCTGTTTCATCCTAGTTTGGGAATCATCGGCAGTACGTACGCACCTTTAACCTTCCGGTTACAAGGCAAGCTGGCTCGTATACCATTCAGCCACTGGGACCCGATTCAATGTCCATCAGCTTATGAATTCTAATTTCTATCAATTCGTGATTTATCGCGACTGGCACCAACTAAACTCGTCGGTGGGACATCCATCCTCACACACACGTGACATCTGGATGGACCTCACACTGGTCACGACTTCTCACTAGAACTCCAGGAAACTCCATCCTGTAGCAAGCCACTAATGAGCATTAGATTAATTTTCTATAGTTTGGTTTGTAAGGCTTAGTTTTGAATAAAATTTCACACTCCTAACTATATTTTTAGCAATGAATGAAATGAAACAAAAAGCACCTCGAAATAGTAATATTTAATGATCAAGACTGCACACCTCAATCATAATAAAATAAAATAAAATCGATAACGGGCGCCTCATTGAATGCGGCTTAAAGATTTTAACATGGTAAGGTAAGAAACTGAGTCATAAGAGGGGAGAAGACTAATCAGTGTTAAGACGGCGTGGGTGTGTGCGTGTGTGTGTGTG